TAAAATAACCGAAGAACCACTGTAAAAAGCAAACTTCGTAAGCGCATACGGATTCATAGCCATTATCAAAATATCACGCCTTGTATTTCTCAAAGATGTATCTCTTGGTAGGTGACGCGTGCGATGCGAATAGTGCCTACAATGTTATATTATCTAGTGTGTCAATGAATATTTTTTTAAACCGAAACTACATTTTTTTCTTTTTTTTACTCTATACATCAAATCCTAAAAGGATGATTGCAAACGGATTGTGTGAACTGATGAGTGTGAATGTAATTTGAAAATTACATGACTTGATTTTTTTACACATTTTTGATAACTGTTAGAACTTGCACATCACCTGGTGCCATATGATTGTCGACTTCACGGACACCCTGTATAAAGATCTTGAGAATCGATCTTAAGATTTCGGATAAAGGTAAAGTCAAGGTCAAAATCAAAATCAATTATTTCAATTAGACCAGAAAGGCACTTTAGAGCGTCTACAAAAAAAAAATTAAGTGAAGCTATTTGCTTATTGCAAAGGTGTAGATTCAAGATAAAGAAACACCAATTCTCTAGTTACATAGTTTTGTTGTTTGGATTGTGCGAGAACAATGTAACACTAAAATACCGTCAAAGAGATCGTAAAAAAAATAACCTTAAACAGTAAAAAATACAGTCTGTAGTTGATCAGTCCCAGTTGACGGCGCCCAATAGAAATCCATTGTATAGAAATCAGAGGTAACTCTATAAAGTAATCCTGATACCACGTTTGAGAGATCATAAACACGTTCTGAAATTTTGAAAAAAATAATTAGGTAAAGTAAGAAATACTCAGAAACAAAAATGAAGGCTTACTTATCTACTATCGTCACTTAAAAATTTAAATCTAGATAAATATGGATAACAATTTCATAAATCGAGGAAATAAACCGATGAGATCATCTTTTACAATTACTCATGACATGAATGAAATGCCAGAACTTGTGCATCCTGGTTTCCACCTGGGGGTCTTCAAGGCCCGAGTTGTTTATCAGGCACGCTCCATTATTGCCTACGTTATTATCACTTAGCACCAGGTGCCATAGGTACATGCCTTAGGTTGTATCTCTTCGTTTTCAGAGCACTCTCATAACTACCTCCGCCGGGTTTGGAATACTTGGTGTTGATATCGTGTGAATCCAGTTTACACATTTCAGAATCCTACCTCCTTGCACTTGCACGTCCAGTTATAACCAACTTCTGAAAGAGGATTATATTTGACAACTACATTTACCAGGTACCAGCTCCAACAATTATGTGACGGAGTACTCTGTTGTCCAAATAACATATTTACGGCCGAGATTAATCACTGATCTCAATCCAAAGTCTTTGGATTAAGATCAATTCTTGGCATTAATTACTTGTATCAGATTTCTGTCAAAAATATACGTCAAATTTTAGAAGATTGGTTATTCATTTCTAGGGTAATTCTACATACATACTTTGGTATACAATCACACAATACATGTACACATTTTATCAGTTATATCGAGTTTTTCAAAGTAAAAAACGTGTTCAAACAGGTAATCTCACTTTAATTACTTAGGTATAAACTGAAAAGTAATGACGCAAAACAAAGAAATACGGATAAGAATTCTTTATATTAACACTAAATTAATTATTATGTTTTCTGCTTACCCACGTAACTGTTTTCAAGCCATGCTTTTAAAAGGCCGGCATCGCACCTGTGACTCCTCTGGTGTTGCGGGTGTCCATGGACGGCGCTGATTGCTTACCATCAAGTGAACCGTCTGCTCGTTTGCCTCCTATTCCATAAAAAAATACTTATATTTATAAGCAGCATTCTGCGACCACGACCGTCGTGCTGTTACTCTGTTATGATGATGATGATGGTACAGTAACAGAACAGAATGCTGCTCAAGAATATGAGCCTCTAGCACAGCTTGAATCTAATCGAGTTCCCCGTCAAACACTTACGTGAGTAAGCAGAAAACATAATAATTAATAAAACATCTTGTTGATATTTTTCGTGACCAAAACAAGACATCATTGTCCTTTCAAATGACCACACTTCAGCTCATCATCACATCAATAGCCTATAAGTACGTGCTGAGTATAGGCCTCTTCTCACACGCGAGAAGATTTGAGCATTATTCACCACGCTTGCTCAATGTGGGTTGGCGACTTCAAACTTATAATTAGAAATTATAAGACACATAATGGTCTTACGGTGCTTTTTTTCACCGTTGGTCAGTGGTGTCTTAATAATCTCAGGCAGTACATATATAACTCAGAAAAGTTATTAGTACTTGCCAGGTTCAGGGACCCTCATCCCCATGCATGAAAAGCCTTAAACTTCCAGGCCATGTTCGTCTTTGATCATAATTTTGCTAAATGATACGATAATATAAATTTTTTTATGTTGCAACGTTCTCGTGCGGAAAAGTCATGCTTCGTCATGAATAAACCGGCTCGATCGTGTAATTCACAGAAAACGCCGCGTAAATCAACATTGCCGTTATGTTTCATCGTGTGAGTGAATTAACCAGAAGCTTAATCCCCACTCTTCAAATGCCAATAATCTCGTATGGGGTTAAAGAACACATTATTTCGAACATTTTTGTCCAACAAAGGGATAGGAGGAAATGATTTTTTTAAGGGGGGAAAATCATCGAATGACTGCTCCCGCCTAGGTGAGGCGGGAGGGAGTGTCAGACTCTTACTGACTAAAAACCACCTCGTTCTTTCTCAGGAGGAAATTAATAGTTATGCTTAACGCAATTTTGTTTTCTTAATTAACTTACGTTATTATTTTATTTCCAGATAGGCCGGTTGGAAGCGACCTGCATCCAGCGGTTCCCTGCGACCTTAATGAGGTCGTCTGTCCACCTTGCGGACAGTCTTGTCTTTGAGGGAGGCCTATGTTCAGCAGTGGACGTTCTGTGGCTGATATGATGATAATGATGATTATTATTTTATTTATTTTTTCTAATCATCAAATACCCAATCATAATATTATTTTATAAACAGTGATCCCAAATTCATAGAATTATGAATTCTTTTTCAAGTTTGACTCAGAAATATGTATCTCTTGGACAAAAATTTACTATGTTACTTGTACACTTTTTATAAAAAAAAAATCTACATTTTTTAAGCTTTCATATCAGGTACACAATGGTTTCCTTGAGTGGAGTCTTATTTATGGGATAAGTTGGTAAACGAGGAAACAGATCACCTGATGGCAAGCAATCGGCGTCGTCTGTGGACACTCGGAGCATTAGAGGTGTTACAAGTGGGTTACCGACCTTTTAGGGATTAGGAATTTGAGGATTGTTGGGGGTTCAGAGACTCGGTAGGAGGGGAGGGTAATTAGGCATCCGGCAATGTCACTCATACGTCGAAACACAACGCAAGCGTTATTTCACGGTTTTCTGTGAGGCCGTGGTATCACTCCTGTCGAGCCGGCCCATTCGTATCGATATTGGTTCTCACATTTAACAATAGTCTTATAAAGTAGGGAAGTACATATAAGTCGGAAAAAGACACAATTATACCTTTCGAAACTGCGAATTCGATTTAAGTTTAGTTAAAATTAAGTACCGATTATGAGGAAAAAGATAAGAAAACCTCTAACCTAACGTTAATCGATAGCTACGATAAAGTACTTTACATTTAACCTATCTATACTTGATAAGATTATACTAATATATATATATATATAATATGTGCAATTAATAAACCAGTACATTATTTAACTTATAAAGTGAAAGAATACCGTAAAGCAAAATGAATAAATTATTTTTATTGTTTGTGATCGCTGTTTACAGTGAGTATTTATCTTCATTCAGTCTGTGGCAATCTTATACAGATATACATATTTTAATATACGAACTTATTTCGATGAATATTGTGTGTGTTCGTGTAATCTAAACATTAAGCGTTGACATAAACACTAATTTATATTTATATATAGTTAAATAAATTAATTGTTATATAGAGGTAATTCTAAGTACAAGGGTGGGCCACAAACTAACACGTGTTTTGTATGATGCACCAATAATAACTATAATAATTTAGTTTACCCACGTTACAAAAATAGGTGTTCAATATTTTCACATATATGGCCACGGTTGTCTCCCATTGGGTTAGGTAAAGATAATAGAACACCAGATGACAAGCTTCTGGCATAGCTCTCTCGCTTCATCTACATTCATCAATCTCTTCGTGTACGTTCGTTGATTGAGGGGTTTCTTTTATAACAATTTTTCAATAAATCAACGTATGTCCGTCTAGTGCGCATTAACCGAGTATGTTCGCTAATTACATCTCATTCGTAAATCTCCTAATATCCATCCTTTTAATATGACCAAATCAAGGACATTGAAGAATTCCAACATCCTTCTACTGGTCCAAACCATCTTTTCTTAATAATATTTCCAATGTTTCATTATTTTTTTATGGCATAAGCCGGTAAACGAGCGGACGGATCAGCTGATGGTAAGCAATCGGCGTCGCCCATGGACACCTGGAACACCAGAGGCGTTACAAGTGCGTTCACACACGACGAAACACAACGCAAGCGTTGCTACACGTCCGATTTTTGTGAGGCCGTGGTATCACTTCGGTCGAGCCGGCCCATTTGTGCCGAAGCATGGCTCTCTCACACTTAAAAATTTGTTTATAGTAATTATATTCTTGTTGACAAATATAATAAAAAATGTTTTCCAGGCGTCAATGCATACACACTTGAAGGAGCTAGCAGGATTATAGGAGGATCATACAGAAGTAATATAAATTATGTGGTAAGTATATTTTAACAATAGTTTTGTTTATAACAAAGTTCTAATTCTTGCACTAAATTCCTAGTTGTGTAAATTACTATCTTATTTTAATATTTACTGTTGGATAGTCCATATTTTTTGGGGGAAATGTTACATAGGTTATAAAATATCACGCTAAGATGAACAGGAGGAAAGTAGTGAGTAGAGCAGTGTCTAATTGAAGATTGATGATATTGTTTCTAGATATCATTACAAGAGAAACAATCAACACCAACCTACGAAAGAGGTCACAAATGTGGAGGTGTATTAATTACTCGACAGAATGCATTGACAGCTGCTTCTTGCGTTTTCAATAACAATGGGTAAGTATTATGTTAGCAACTGCAGAAATCTTTAGTTTTTATTTTGCTGCAGGAATGAATTTGTAGCATGCCTTATGCAGCACCGCCCCCCCCATCCGAAAATAAATGCATGCGGTCTCTTACCATCGTCAAAGTGAAAGAAGAATAATGTTTTAAATTTAAACATTGATACTTCTTAAGACATTAATAGCATCCGGAAACGTGTCGTCGGTAACTAAAATAAATATTGTGACTGTTACAGACAACTGATCAACGTAACCAACTTCAGAGTATTCGCTGGGACAGTTCTTACAAATGATAATGCAGATAACGTTCGCGACATAGCAAGTATAACTGTCCACCCGGAATATAACAGGCAGACTTTTGTCAACGACATTGCTGTTATTACTGTGAGAAATTATTTTATAATCTTTGTTTTACAAGTTGTGTTCAAAAATATATACTATGTAACTATAACGTCAATGTCACATTTCAGTTACAAGCTGCTTTCCCGGAAGCAATAAACCCCTTGCCAATGCCGACTGGTGCATTAACTTATCCTCTGATGCAGCCATGTGAGTCTTCCGGTTTTGGAGGTCGTAATGCAACAGCCTCTGTAAGTTTCATTACAATACTGTACAGTGCAAATTCTTAAATTGTTACTTGTGTAATATTACTAGAAGTCGAATACGACTTCCTAATGTAATGGCCTCATAAAGGAGTACCTTATCTAATGGCTCGTACACAAAACTGCGATGCGACGTCGCATTGCAAAAATGTGCGAGTTCGATCTGGACATCGCAAGAACTTGCGAATTGATTCGCATCGCACATCAAAATCTTATCTTCCCAAAATCTTCTTTGCTTCTTTTTCCTGCATATCTTTAGTAATAACAGAAGTGCACACTTCTTTTTACAATCCATATCACGACCTAGTTTTCAATTTAAAATACGTTTGGTACGGTTGACGGTCGTCGAAGGAATGGTCACTACACCATGTTACACGAAATCGCATCGCAGCAATATGCCGACTGCTGCATTATCTAATCCTCTGGCACAGCTGTGTGATTCTTCCGGTTTTAGAGGTCGTAATGCAACAGCCTCTGTAAGTTTTATTACAATACTGTACAGTGCAGATCCTTAATTTTTAGTCGTCTAATATTAATGGAAAACGTATTGAGTATCTTATCTAATACAGAAAGTTCTTAAGTATGAGCAAATGAATAGAAATTGTATATATTTAGAATAGTATAAAAAAATTATGTGTTGATGTATTTCTTTCGCTGTAACATTAAAAGTAAATAGGAATATTTGGACTAACAGTTTATTATTATTTTAGGCAAGTGCGCAATTGATAACATTATCACCAGTGGCTGTGTTGCCAAGTGAAGCCTGCAACCAAATAATACCACAGATGACAGTTGTACCAAGTATGGTTTGTGGGACTTCGGTTGGTGGGGGATGTGAGGTAAGATTAGTTTTTCTTGACTTATAATAATTATTCATGGTCAACAAATTACACAACTATAAAACGATGCGAGAGCTTGAATGTTTGTTTGTTAATCCTTCACGCCTGAATGGTTGAAGGTTTCGAGATGAAATTAGGTACAGGGGTAGATTATGGTCTAACATAACACATAGTTAGTTTTAATGCCACGAAAATGTGGGCAAAGCCGGAAGTGGACGCTAGTAATATAACTGACCTTTATTTACAAGTAATATGCATAACAGAGGCCTTAGTATGAGTTTGTTTCACGTTTAAATTAATCGTAACGAGTAAGCATTCGGCGCTCTGATTGGTTGCTTCATTGGCGCCGGCCAATCAGAGCGCCGAACACGTACTCGTTTCGAATACTTTAAACGTAAAACACGTACTAAGGCCTCTGGACTGAAAAAAAAAACACTCTGGAATAGCTGGCGATCAATGGCTAACTGCGTCTTTTTATTTGCAGGGTGATATAGGAAACCCATTAGTGTGCAACCCACAGAGCACTCCGGTTCTCGAGGGCTTACTCACTAGATTCAACAACTGTGGGGTTATTTTAGTCGTCCCAGAAGTGTATACTTAAGTCTTTCCATTCGCATCATGGGTTAATCTAGTTGTCACGGGAGCGGCATCCACATCACAACTTGGAACTTCTGTAGCACTCGTGTTTGTAATCATACAATGTTTCAAAATCTTTAACTAAATCAAAGTGTATTACAAATATTTATTTTTTGCTTAATTATTAAATAATATTATTAATAAATGATTTTTTTAACGTAATCTTTTTAAATATCATCTTAGGAATCCTTATAGACCTGTGGGACTCTAACCAGCAAGAAACCGCTGTATCCTGTAACTAACATTTGATCCCGCCAATTTAGAGCTGTAATGCTGTGCTCTAATGCTGTAAATGCGTCTTTGATTATATTATCTACATTGTTTATTTAAATTAAATATATACATAATTTAAAGGTTACTGACTGACTGCCATATTGATCTATCAACACACAGCCCAAACCAGTGGACAGATCGGGTTGAAATTCGGCATGTCGGTGGATGTTTTTTGACCTAGGTATCTGCTAAGAAACGATTTTGTTCAAGGTGATAAAATTGGAGATGAAAGTTCGTATAAAACTTTGTCGATTTAAAGCCGATCGGGCTGAGAATTTGCACGCATTTTTGGATGTACGCATGGATCATGCTGGTAAATGAGCAGACAAATCACCTGATGGTAAGCCATCGGCGCAGCCCATGGACACTTGGAACACCAGAGGTGTTTTAAAAACCAAACTATCGTTGTACGATAGTTTGAGATAGTACCAGAATTTTAACGCATAGTTCTTGTCCCGGGAGATTTCCTTTCCAGTGCCAGTGTCTCAAACTCTCGTTGAAAAGAATTTCAATCAAATAGGTTCAATGGTTAATAAATTAGTATTCAGCCTCTTTACATACCTTAATGTTGTATCATGATAATAAAAAATAAATTTTCAATAATCGATTGGCTTGAAACTCACTTGTCAAAAATATCTCAGATAACATATAAAGATATATTTAACATTATAGTTAAATTTGTTCACGTTTGTTTGTTTGGTTAGAAATTGCCGTGATTTTTCTACTAAGTTGAGATAGTAGAAAGGATTGAAGGCTTATTAGACGATTCGCACGAATCATGCGAATCGACTCCTTTAAAACATTTTATTTTTTCTGCAGTCGATTCGCACTCGCACATGAAATGAAGTATCAATTAGACAAGTGCATCGTCGTTTGCTGGAACGTAGATCTACGCGAGACACAATGCATTTTCTATTGTGTCTTATATAGGTACCGGCAGTCAAGAGGTTAAACGATCGGAGATAGAGCTCACAATTATACCAAAAATTAATGGTGAAATGGTTTCGGACTTGCATAATGCTGGATGTGTACCCATACAAAAAGTTCCTGATTTTAAAAATATTAAGACTTTGACTGCCAATAAAAAATTGTTGAAGGTAAATCCTCCGCTAATGCCGGTCACCAGTGACCCCCATGGCGTTTAACGTGTTAAGAAAAGACTATCGAAACAGAAACATATCACATAAGATAAAAACATTTAGATTCAAAAAAGTTACAGATCTTATTATTCCTCCATGTTACGAAGATTTGAAGTTTCCTGAGTATGGATACAAGAAAACAATTACACTTTTTGCAAACCAATGCCGGAATACTGAAACGCTACTCAATTTTAAGTCGTGCTTAAGTATAGTTCTATCTCTACAAATTCTTTGTAAAATGACAGAGATGGCACGCTATTTGAGCACGACTTAAAATTGAGTAACGTTTCAGTATTCCGGCAATAATGTTATAAAATATATTGAAACAGCAGAAAGCGTTTTCTGCGATGGGACGTTTTTGCAAGTATATACGTTACATATAGATATTGTTTATTATAGATTTCGTTTCTATTGTCTATCTATTACGAGTAAAACATATTTGACCTTACTACTTCTCTGCTCAAGTGTACTTTATCTTAACTGCATTTCATAAAAAAACAATATGTGTGCGAATAGCCTACTACATATTTGTGAGGGTGTATATTATATATACACAGAAAAAAATATATGTTTTAAAGGAGTCGATTTGCACGTTTCGTGCGAGTTAAATTCGTGCGAATCGTCCCATAAGCCGGATTGAAAGTAGCATAGATGACACTTTGTTTCTTTCTAACCCACTTCCCTAAAATTGGGGCTGGGAATTTGTATGGAGCATTTCATAATTTTTAAGAAACCTAAAATTGGTATCATGTTTGTGACCAGGAAAACATCGAGTACCAATTCTTTTTTATCTTTTGTTAACTTCCCCCAATATTTTAAAAGAGCGCGAGCGAAACCATGGGCAGAAGCTAGTCCATGAATTAATTGTATTTCGTTAATTGAATTCTTAATTTTTCTATAAATTTCCTGACTCTGATGCAGCCAAATACTTTTATTAGTCCTTGAAAACAGTTTCCTATTGACAGCCAAAGGCTTAAGCAATATAAACAAATTTTTTGGTAGTATATTCACACATCGGGTTACAATATCGAAATTCAGACGCGGTTCTTTTTTTTCTGTTTTACTAAATATAGCCTATGTTCAGCATCGATAATGTAGGATTCCAAAGGTAAAAATTTTTTTCAAATCGGCCTGGTAGTTTCAGAGGAGATTCCATTCACACAAAAAATCTAATCGTTCCTCTTCATACTAATAATATAGATATAGACTATTGTGAGATATACTAAATTAACTAAAATCGCGGGTTACTCACGTGAATATACTGACGCTGTGACGACTCAGTGAACTGCGCGACGTCACCGCGACCGCCGCTGCTCATGAGGAAGAACCCCTCTGTGGTTGGAAACTAGTAGAGCTTTTCTCAGTGTATTCACATGAGTAACCCGCGATTTTAGTTAATTTATTACTTTAATTCTTGTATGAATTTTAAAAATAATAATGGAAACATCAATCACACTGCACTGATACCACGCTAAAAGCCATTGCGACAAAGACGTAGGAGATAAACCCGCATGCATGCATTCTTTGGATCCCGCCTTCATAATATTTTTATGTCATAAATTTTTTTTAACTGACTTAAAGAAAAGGGAGGACTTATATTGTATATATGTATACTATGTATGCATGTATGTTTGTACGCGATTGTCTCGCGATTGGTTGAACCGATTTTGATGCGGTTTTCAGAAAAGTTTATACAGTGATCCCAAATTCATAGAATTATGGAATCTTTTTCAAATTCGACTCAGAAATATTCTTCTATATGATAAAAATGTACTATGTACATAATTTACTATTACAAAATACACATAAATAAATACATGTCGGAAAAGGATGGTGTGGGCGATGTCAAGCGAGAACCCTCTTCGTCATATATATCGGTAGAGGTATGTTTATGCAGTAATAAAACAATTAAATCTTCGTAATTAAAGTAACGATTACTTTCGACAGTGCACAATAAAATTACTCAGCGATTGCGTAACGTGTGAACTGGGCAACGATTGACGAACGATCCCCGAGCTTGCGCATGCGCTGCTTTATATATCACTCGGTGGTGGGGTTGAAGTGACGTCGGCCAGTTGTTTGTTCACTGCTTGCCCATTACATTCGCAGTTTACAAAATAATGACGGCGGCGCCGTCATACACTTTTCATAAAATACATTTATATTTCATAAGCTTCCAAATCAGGCACACAACTTCAATATACCTCCATATAGGTTTCTTCACGATATATTCCTACAGTGGAGTCTTTTTTTATAGGATAAGTTGGTAAACTAGCAGACAGATCACCTGATAGTTAGCAATCGGTGTCGTCTGTGGACACTCGGAACAGAGGTGTTTTTTTATGAATTGTGAATCAACGTATGACTCGCTCGTCCCGCCTCTTCCTTAGCTAGCTCCATAACTGCTTCGCAAAGTCAAAGTCAAAGAATTTATTTCAATTAAACCATAGTTTGATACTTTTGAAACGTCAACAAATACAAAATAAATAATAGTCTGTCAGTCAGTCCGTCAGTGAAACTAGGTAAATCTAGGTGCTCATTCCAAAAAGTAGATTCGAATGGAGAAGAACGAGCAAGAAACTCCATTCGTTACTCTTTTTAAAAAAGTATGTTCTACAATGTCTCTGATACATATTTCAATACTGTACGCATATGTAAGAACAATGCAAAGACACGCTTGACGCATTATACTAATAACTTACTAAAATAAAAA